AAGATGACTAACGGACTGAGTGGGGATTGCCCTGGGTCTGTGCTAATTGAGCAGACCCTGGGAACCAGCCCTCTACTTCTGGGCGCTGCCTGCAAGTACACATAAGCAGACACAAGGATGAACGCAGCAATAAATAAGCCTTATCCAACTGGCAGTCTAAATGATATCAGCTGCTTCCTCAAGATGCATCCCTCTGCCCACAGATGGGAAAGTGCTGAGTGCCCACCATAACCTGCCAGATCCTGAAACCAGCCTGGGCAAAAATCAACAGATTTTTGCATCAAACTAGAAGACTGCCAAACTTTTCATGTCTTAGTCGTGTTGCCTGGAGCATATGTAAGCAAAGGTGTTTTGTTGAACTCAGTACAGCACGAACGGGATGAAGTTTAATGGTTTATGTTATACAGCAGGTCTGGGTAGATGATGTAAGATCCCTTCTGACCTTAAACAGCAGTGATCTGAGCGCAGACAGACATTGCTAATGTTCGGATTAGGGGAAGATGTTTAGCACCCAATGATTTCAAAGAAGGCCTATGTTGATACAGCATTAGTATATACAAACAACAGGCAGTGAGCTAGCCAAGTTTGCCAAGTCCACCTCTTTCTTTTCCTATAAATTATCTGTAGTGTTTAAAATGTAAAGCTGCTAGTATAATTTTTACCTGTAACCACAACTTTCCCACAAGTTCAACAACTCCTTGAGATCCTCTTACGTTCTTTACATTAGGAATCATTTGAACTGGTTCATGTATCAGGGCCGCCTGGCTTACTTTCTTTTACACACAGACCTGCACATTTTAAATGCTAAAACACAAAGAACAGTGCATTTGTTTAGGAATCTGTTTAAAAAAAACCCATCTTGCTTTCATCTGTGCAGTTCTTACCGTAAAAGAGGTTTGACCAAGCTTTGAATCAAAGCAGAGGAATTTTACCATTGACAATTTGAATTCATTTAAGTGCAGTCTAGTACAAAAACAGTCTGAAAAGCAATGGAGAGGAGGCTAATAGCACTAGAATATAGACGCTGTCAAGTTTGAAGCAAAACAGTGAGCAATTTTTCAAAACGACAAAAACAAAGATCCATGCTCAACTAAAATATCTGTTGTGGTCTGCTAATAGATTGTACCACTATTACCATTTTTGTAAATTTCCAAAGCCGTTATTTCCTTTTTAGGAGAAAGAAAAAACAGGATTTGGATCACCACAAATTTTGTAATGCTTATAGTATGTGCTCTAACACTTTCCATTTAACATGTAAGTGCAGTGTAGAGGCTGAACAAATAAAATCTCAATTTGGAGGAATGGAAGTTTTCAGATGAAAAAATAATAAGCACCTACAGCCTTCAGAATCTGGAACTGAATTGTTTTTAGTGGAACTCACTTGATATGAGTCAGCCTTAAGCAATATTTTCAAAGTACTGCAGGACTTCACAGAAACATTTATCTAATTATTACTGGAGATGCAAGGCAAAGTTGTATTTTCATTTATTCTCTCTATATAGGCTAACAGGCTATATATTCACTATTTAGAGATATGGAAAACATCATAAATAAACACTACACTACCTCTTAATTAAGTGGCTTGCTGTATGGTGCCCATGGAATCACCTTTCCCCTTCATGGAAATTTTTACCTTCTGCTGCAGATAGCCAATTCAAATGAACTAGCCTTCATTTCATCTTGAGAGTAATATTTAACTTAAATCATATGTGATCAGTGCGAAAACTCACTAACCATTTTATGTGGCAGCGTGAAAAGATCCACAAGCACTTTGTCTGGGGCTACGTGCTTCTGTGACCCAGATATCCTACAGTTTTAGGCACCCAAATCTCTTGGTTCTTTGGGTACAATTCTGTGTACCAGTTGTACACACAGGTTTAAGACTAAACGGAAGCTGTTGGTTTAGACAATATCTATTAAGTTTTAGTAACTTGAGTCTTTTGGGAAAAAGGGGATTAAAAGCAAACAGATTAGGAGGAGTTCCCATTTATGCAGAAGTGTGTAGAGGTTATAAAGAGGATAGCTGTACAGCAGAGAAAAGGTAGAAAAGATATCACTAATGAATGAAGAGGGAAAATAGTGGCACTGTAACTCAACAATATTTGAAAACTAGATCTCACCCACTACGAAGTGTTATACTTGCAGTGACCTCTGCTTTGAGATTCTTTCTCTGCAGCCTACCAGAATTCTTGGCCATCTTCATCCATGAAAATATGAATTAACAAGAAAGGAGATTTGAATTAAATAAAAGGAGCATTTCTATTCATGTATCACAAACTGAGGAAAACTAGATGAGAATAGGGTTTGACCATATTTCCCAATAAAGAAAGATGAATAAATAAGAAATCAGACAGAAAATTAAATTTGGAGAAAAAAAATAAATTAAGAGTGCAGTTGAAATATCAAAATACCCTGACATTATCAGATACGAAGCATATTCATAACTAATTTTCAACGTGGATGTTATAAGTGAATGTATACATTGGTTTGTGTATTCCTTGGAAATAAGCTAAACTATATTCACGTGCCATTCAATGACTTCTGAGAACTACCAAAGAAACGCCCAAAAAACCCCACAAAATAGGGCCAGAAAGAAGAAATGACCCACCCACTTTCCAACCCTTTGCTGCATAAGCATCCGTATCTCCATTTGCTGGGCTTTAGCCCCTACCTGCTCTCCCGAACAGAGGTTTATGGGGTGGGTGCTTCATGAGGCACAACAGTAAGATTAGGAAAGCATGCAAAACGATGCTGAAGGGAAAAAATTAAATAACAGCGTGGGGAGATGGCAAAAATCTTATTAAAGAAAAGGGAAAACCTATTGGTTTATATCTTATCCTTGGAAGGCACGTGATTCTTCATCTTGACTGTGCAATTTACATAGCTAATTTAAAACAGTCAGCAAGACAGGAACTACATGAATGGAAAAATCTCAGCTGAACTTTAAATGACCCATTTTTTTACCATATGTTAATTGGAAAATATCATCACGTTTGTTCAATAAGATTTTTCTACAAGTTGCGAAGATATGCACGCTTTGCATTTCTGTTAATAGAATGAGCAAAAAGATGTATACTGGACCTACAGAAATCAATGTAGTAAACAACTGGTGCATAAATATAACTGTGCCAAAAACATGTCAAGCCCATGCTACCTTGTTTTTGCAGCCAATGTTCAATTCTATTTGTACTGCAAATGTAAAACTATGTCTATTACTGAAAGATCAAAATATGTATTAGTTTATTATAATACTGAACTTGTCCTTCAAAACAAATCTTTAATCTGAGAAACCCCAACTAGTGTCTTTCCCATGAATTTTAAAATCCTCCTTACAAACATTATGCTCCATTGCTCAGCTTGCTACACCTTATTTCACAGAGCAAACCGCAGTATTGCCTTACAGGGCATCTCTTTCTGTGTTCAAAATCCTTTCTTTATACCGGTTGATCTCTTGCTGAATCCTCCTGCTTGTTGCCTCATTTGCAGTTAAGGCTACAGTTTAGGTTTTCCTTGGCCAGCTGAAACTAATGAAGTAATTTTCGGATAAGTATCATACTGTGCATGAGAAACTCCATCTGGTCTCCGTTTGTCCACAGGAAGAACAACAGCAGCTTTGTCCACTTCTGCGTTTCTAGTTCTGATACACATCTTCACCTACTTAGCTTAATTCACTATCATCACCGCACTGCTTCCCATGCACTTCTTTGCATCATTCAAATAGTAATGTAGTTATGGTCTGTCATCAGCGCCTCTTTCCTAACATGTAAATGGTTTTTCCATGCCAGGGGGACAGGAATGATGTCAGAACATCAAAAGAGTAACATTTACTCCCTACGGGCTGCACTGGCACTTGGCACTCTGTCTTGAGCAAATTTGTTTGCTAATTGTGTGATTGTGGAAGCACAGAGGTCTGTAGTCGTTTGGCGTCTCTCCTGTTCTCAGTGAAGGGCACTGAATTATGTCAGGACTTTCCCTGCACCCAGTAACCTGCAAAGGCCTGGAGGCCTGGATGCATCAGCAGCAGATTTTGGGGAAAGCTCACACCCAGGCTCCTCTTATTCAAGAAGCTGCTAGGGTTCTCCAGCGCAGCCACATCCTGTACCATGACTTTTCATAAAGATAACCAGTTGACAACAGACAAAAAACTTGATCTGTACCCACAACAATTACAGTTAAATACAGTTAAACACACAAGACACTTTAAAAGAGCTTGTTCGTGCTTCCTATATGCACATTTCACATTTGTCCCCATCCAACGTTACAAGAAAGAACTTGCGTCCCATAAAAAGGGAAGGCATCTACTATTTAGAGATAAGGGAAGGTTCTTATGGAAACATTAAGACCCACTTTAAACAGTTACTGTCTCAGTGCATTATTTTTTGGCATTGCCTGGTGAAAATAACATCTCATCCAAGCCTTAAGATGCATTCTTGAACTACATCCATGGAATAAGAAACAGACAACGTAAAGCTGAGTAGTTCCAGATTCTGAAAAGCAGGAGAAAGCTGTAAGTGCAAAAATGAACAAATGTATAAAGTGAGTTTACAGTAACTGCTGAAAAACCATTCCTGGGATGTGTTTTTATTAAATAAACATGCATTCAATCACCAAAGAAAATCTCCAGACCAAATAAATTCCAATGCTTTGCAGAAGACCCTTTGAACTCGGTATTCAATGTTGTGGAAAGGGTTATAATTCAAAGATAATCCTGCATCTTTGGTTCTGATCCTTAAGCTAAAACTTTTATTGAGGATATTTTACTGCGGACATAAGATAGTTAAAGAAAAAGGCAGAAAATGAATGAGTCACTTGGCTGAAGAAGCACAGCAGCATTGAGGTCTGAGTGCTATTTGTTAGCTCATGCCTAGCAGTATAAAATAAGTTGGAAAACAAAAGTCTGTTTGTAATTTGTTTTACAATCTAAAATGTTTTCCCTCTAAAATAAAAAAAAAATAAAATCCTTGTATAAGGCTATGGCTAGTGGTCTAAACTTTCTCAGGTTTGTGAAACATTGATCATTCTCCCATCCCACAGGAATAACAGATGGGTTGTCCTTGCACAAAATATGGTATCCACCTGCACTTCATTACAGAGCTGCATTTTTGTACATGCCACACCACAAGATCACCATGATGACATAGCAGCTTCAGAGAACAGCGTGACTAGGGCTTTTTTTTTTTTTTTGCCTTTTTTTTTTTTCTCTTGTAACACAGAGGATCTGGCAGACTTTTACCTCCTGACACTGTTTACAGCATATATTGGTCGATACAGTCCCTTATTGCATCTGCTCTGGGAATTAAGGAAAGCAGCTTCAAGGCAGTAAGGTAAGTGCTGCTGCATGTTTTAACTGTAATGTTCAGCTATTTAAATGTAGCTGTAATGGGAACGTGAAAACATGTCAGGATAAGTTTGCCAATTTGTAAATTGAACACAAATCAACAGTTGCTTAGTGGATTCGCTTTCTCAGTTTCCTTAAAACAACCTCACATATTTTGTGCATCAGTATTGCACTTTTTTAACGTCTGTTTTGTTCTATTTCAAAAGAAGAGTTGATCTACAGTACAAAGAAATTTTTAAGAGTACTCACTGCATACTTATTCATTCATAATCTATTAGTAAGAGCTCCACAGATTCCATTTGTTAAATCATTTTACTTCTTTTTCCAAAAAGATAAGGTAACCTAATATTTAAATAATTAATCAAGAAAGCAATGAAAGGAAAATTATAGGCATTTTGAAATATTTAGTTAATTTTAAAGCACATTTTAAATATAGTAGTGAAACTTTTAAAAATTAAATCTTTTGCACACTGTGTAAAATGTTATGCTGCAGAATTAAGGTATATTTAGTTTAAGGCTGATTGAAGATAAACTTATATTTATTTTGTTTCACAACAACTTTAGAATGAAGATAGTATAGACTATCTCCAAAAAAATTTGAGTAGTTTGTCTACTCTACTGTAGTAACCATTTTTCCAAAATCATGGCTTTGCCATTTAGTACATTTTGGCAAGTTGCCTGAGCAACTTCACAAATATTTTCAGAGGTATTTTACAACAGAACTGATTAGAACAAACACAGGCAATTAGTTCAAACGTGCTTATGTTATAAGATAAACATCTAAGAACGTATTCTGATTTTATCTTTTGGATTCATACAGTTCAGTGCAACAAACAAGCATGATCTATTTACCTTTTACACTTCTGACAGAGAAACATTTAGATATGTGAATGAGAAAGCCATGAATAAAACAACTATATGACATATGTACTTTACTGTTTCATTTTCTGTCACACACATGCTCATATGTCCTTGCACTACAGAATTGTCATCTACATTTTAAAATGTTGTTGGTAAAATAATTCAAAACCTTTGCAATCTGACTTTTTAAATTACTTCCAGGGTTCTGCAGAGCAGTTAAAATTTGTGTACTATTTAAAAGAACTGACAGCCTGTGATATCAATAGTAAAATTTAGCATTACAAATAAAATTTGAAACTACAATAACAATAGAATTTGAATTTAAAATAGGATGTTTATGTAAGTTTATCAGTAAGACTATAAAATAATGCGAATCTATAAAAATGTCCCTGTAAGGCCAAAGAATGTAGTCCAATAAGACACTCTGGCTTATACTTTGAATATAGAAGCAGTTAGTCCTCCATCCTTAACGTTTAGTACCTAAATAGGACCAGATTTTGAGCTGAATTGTGTCACTGTAGTGTCTTTGCTTTCAGAGGAGCTGTACTTATTTATACCAGCAGGGGACTGAAGGTTGAATTTGCATGTTCTCATGCACTAATGAAGAACAAAGACAGTTACATTGATAACTCATATTTCAATGACTGCTCTATCCTATGGCTTGTAATTAGCTAAATGTGATGGGACCAACACCATGGAAAAGATATGCAATCATCCTCGTTATTCAGGGGACAGCAGCTTAGTATCTAGCAGAGGGACTTTGTGGCTGATTGGCTGGAGATAACACATGGACATTTTTTAAAAAATCTTCATCCTGTACTGCAAGAGATCAATAGGCCTTGCCTAGAGGTATCTTAGTTGAGATTATTAGCGGACTAGAATGTGATGTGGCTTTTATCTAGTTAATAAAAGCAATGAAATTTAGAATTAGGCAAGACTTTCTAGCTATGGCCCTGCATTTTAACGCTATGTACTAATCAATGTCGATAGCGAGACTAACTTTGCTGGAAGATTGCCCAGACCTGAGATGAATGTCTGGAGTTCTGTTTATAGGCTTCATGTACTTTCTGAAATTACCTGGCAACAAGAAGGTTCTAAGGATTTTCTGAATTGTCTCACTCTCTGAACAGTAGTTGAGTACACTAAGCCTTGTCCTTTACTGGTGAAAATCAACGTAAGGTCACTGACTCCAGTGATGCTAGACCAACTTTTCCAACACAACATCTATCTCAGTAGAAAGAAATAAAGCAAGATACTATGTTCACAGATTACTTGTGGAGTACCTGATGAGAAAGGTATGCCATTAAAAAGTAAGGTGAGACCACTCATATTGGATCACAGCAAAACATCCCCAAGGATACTGAACGTCCTTTTACTCTATGTGAACTGAAAGACCAACTATGTGAAACCACTGCTTTATTGTTCTGTTGATTTAGAATGGTCATACAATGTAAACAACACATTTATTGTTACACACAGAATTTGCAAGGACATTTGCACTATCTGAAATTCGGTCTTTTGAGATCGACTGTAGATCCATATTAGATAGAGTATACTCGTGCACACATATGCGGTGCTGGTTGTTTGACATGTCCAGGAGAATATGGTATATATTTCTATTAGTTTATTCTTTAGGTGAATATGATACTTAGTGGATAAAGCTTTACTGGACGTGATCCATGAGAAAAAGATATTACAAACTACAAGCATCTTAACAACACACTATACAGCAGATCATTACCCTCAATTTGTAACTTTTCTGGCTTTTTCAAACTTAAGTCAAATTGCCACATGTTGTTTAGATATAAGGCAATTCAGTATATTAGGAATGCTCGTCAGAATTTAAATGGCAGAACTGCCTCTGAAGATGGCCTTCAGCAAAACTGAAAACTTCTGTGCCAAGTTTAAAAAACCTGGACTTTATCATCGTTCTCGTGACTTAATGAATGAATGCAGGAAGGTAAAAAGAATGTTTTACTTAGAACAGCAGAATGGCCTACAATTTTGAATTGCAAAGACAATATAACAAGACACTGTAAATTTATAGTAGTAACAATGCAATACTCACAAACTAATGTATTTTATCTGAATTTATAGCTTTAAACAGGAAGCCTATATTAAATAGTTTTGACTTATAACATTTATGTGGTAAAATTTCAAATATTGCTGAAAGAGAGAAAAAGAAGTTATAACTTTTTTGTTCCCTTTCACCATACAGGGACAAGACACATTGCAAAGATGACTTTAAACTCCTTACCCATCTTCCTGTTATTGATTAGTGGCATTTTTTGCCAATATGAATATGGTCCTGCAGATGATTATGGTTATGATCCTTTTGGGCCATCCTCAGCAGTCTGTGCCCCAGAATGTAATTGCCCTTTAAGCTACCCTACTGCCATGTATTGTGACAATCTTAAACTGAAAACCATTCCGATCGTACCAAGTGGAATAAAATACCTTTACCTTCGAAACAATATGATTGAGGGCATTGAAGAGAACACGTTTGATAATGTAACAGACCTACAGTGGCTGATTCTAGATCACAACCATTTGGAAAATTCAAAAATTAAGGGAAGAGTCTTCTCTAAACTAAAGCATCTGAAGAAACTTCACATTAACTACAACAATTTGACTGAAGCTGTTGGACCACTCCCCAAAACTCTGGATGACCTGCAATTAAGTCATAACAAGATCACAAAAGTCAATCCCAGTGCACTTGAGGGGCTGGTGAATCTGACCGTCATTCACCTCCAGAACAACCACCTGAAAGCAGATTCTATTTCTGGGGCCTTTAAAGGCCTGAATTCACTTTTGTATCTTGACTTAAGCTTTAATCGACTTACAAAGCTACCGACAGGCCTGCCTCACTCCTTACTCATGCTGTATTTTGATAATAACCAGATCTCCAATGTTCCTGATGAGTATTTCCAAGGTTTTAAAGCCCTGCAATACTTACGTTTATCCCACAATAAATTAACAGATTCTGGAATACCAGGCAATGTCTTCAATATCACATCACTGGTTGAGTTGGATCTGTCTTTCAATCAGCTGAAGAGCATTCCAACAGTCAGTGAGAACCTCGAAAACTTCTACCTCCAAGTCAACAAAATTAACAGTGAGTAAAATTTGCATATTTTTAGCATTATTTACCACAGTCTGGACACTCATGGCCAATGCAAGTATCTGAAAGGTTAGATCAATCAGTCTGAAGAAATGGTACTGGTTAGACAGTTAGTACACTGACATTTCTCTGACTCTTGTCCACATTAATGCTAAAAGACAGACATTTATTTGATAGCTACAAATTAACATTAAAGACAGAAGTTTCTGTTTTCATACTAATGTGGGTACTATTGGCCTAATTCTCATCTCATGTAAATTGGAGTAACTCCATTGAAGCCAATGGAGTTGATTTAGACAATTGAGGAAAAAACACTGGGAAAAGTTTAATCAGTGTGGCACATAAGCCAGCAAAAAAAGACAGACATCAGCTGAGGATCTGACTATGGTACGTGTAACCTTTCAGAAGGCTGGTAGTGAAAGTGCTGGAGGGAGGGAGGAAGAGAGGGAGAAGACTTCAAATTCATAAGGTCAGGCACAAGGCACAGTGAAAAGGATACAGCAAAGTAGCTGCTTTTTTCTCATTCCTCCCTTCTCTCATGCAAAATCCCTCCAAACCCATCATGAAATCCAAAGAGCTGCCCCTGTTGTTTCTTCTTTTCATTTCCATTTCCCATATCACATGATCAGGTGGCAAGCTTGTCTCCATTCAAGCATGATTTGAAAAAATGTTCTTTCTGAAGTCAATAAATGTCACACCTTGGATGAGATCATGGAGGTTTCTACTGAGACAGGGCTTTTACGAGGCTGTCCTAATCCTGGGGTGGGAAGGAAGTGCTGGAGAGCTGTAGAGGCCCCACCACCATGTGAGAAGCTCTCCAGCTGCACCTCTGTCAGCAGTGGTCCCTGAGGGAGAGGCAGATCTGTCAAACATAACAGTGTTTCTGCAGGAGGACTTATATCATCTTGCTAGCTGTCATAAATTAAACCATAAAACCCTCTCTTCTGTTCGCCTGCTTGTAACCAGCAGGGGTTTAGGTTATCAGTGTTAGCTATTCCATACATAGCTAACCCCGTACAGACATAGCCTTTAAAGCCAAATATTTGAAAAAATTTAAAGCTGATTTTACCAGGCAGAGGGCAACACCTTTTGAAATGTTTTGTATTTACTATGCTTTACGTTTTCCTCAACGCTATGATTTTTTTTTCCTATTACATCTCAGTTCCTTGTTTTGATGATGGAAAATAATGAGTTAATGCTTCCTACCTGAGGCATCGCATAGAGCGACCTGTAGAACTTTATCAGATACTCTCCCTCTCCTAAAAGAGCTAACAATGATGATGTTTAACTTCTCATGAGATATACAAGGCAAGTTTCCTTGCTTAGAATGGTTGTTCTGAGCCTTCTGCAGGATACCCAGGTATCAAGTCTGCTTTCCATTCACATTTCCAAGGACTTCTGAGCAATTGTGATGGCAATTTAATTTTGTGATGAAAGCTGTATTTCCAGGGTACTGGTTAGCAGCAGAGGAGGATTGTGTGAGGAGTGAGTGTGCACCGGCTACTGCTGCACTGTCACTGCTACCCTATGGACTGATGCAAGAGAACTCTGATTTACTGGTTTTTGCTTAACCATAAAACCTAGAAGACTTTACTTACAAATTTTCTCAGCTATCTAATTTCACAGGCATAATATTGTGTTCCCTAGGATGCTAATTGACAACATGGGATAAAATTTAGTTAGCAATAAGAATTTCAGTTTAATGAAGTACCAGCTACAGGCTGATCAAAGTCTTTGCAGTTCACTGTTCATTACACCTAACCTACAGATGTGAGCACTTACAAAAACTGAGTTGATTGACCTTTGAATATTTGAGCTGCAAACAAATGACCAGTTTCTTTTTTTTTTAATAAAATATTGTAATTTACCAGAGATTTGTACAAGGATGACTGTAAACAGGGCCAGTTTCCCTTCCATACCACGGCCTGTGGTACACATGTACTGTGACAGGAAGGCTTCTATATTAGGGCTAATGATAATTTGTCCTAAAGTGTACAAAAGGTATAATCTTTCAGTTTATGCTTACATAGCTTAAAGTTTTCACTTATACTGAAACCTAACAAATATATGTCTCCAGAGTTCCTCATTTGCTACTGTCTCCCCTTTTCTTAGGTAACTTTAGGCTATCAATTATTTTTCAATTTAATTTATCAATTAATTATTATATTTGTCTAAGGAAGAGTAATCTGGTTCCAACCCTTTTGATATTACCAGAAAGAAAGAAAATGTTTCTCTAAATTATTGTCCATGAGTTTCATCCTGGGCTTGCTACAGTCCCTATGCATTGCCACACATATAAAAATTACTTGTTTGCCAAATATCCTTATTTGAGTGGCTTTGAGCTTTTTGAACAAGAGTAGATGAATACAAACATGAAAAAAAAAAAAATGTAGCAGAATTGGCTTCACTTCAGTATGTTCTCTCTTCATCTGTGATAAATTGAAACACATCCATTCTATTGAATGTAAGTTAGGTATCAGCTGTACGCTCAATCTACTGTACTTGGTGTACTTGGATCCAACTTGTGCTAGTTGGATCACCAAGCTAGCATAGGGCCATGGAAGGTTTATAAAAGCCTTTGTTTTCTCCGTACCTCAAACCTAATCTGTAACTTCTAAATTGAAGCTTCTTTTTCTAATATCTCTTATTATTTGTAATTTAAGGGTAGAATTTTCTACTTAATAACAACAGTGGTTTGCTGCCATACTTTAAGATGCCATTAATATTACATATATATATATTTCTTTCACGGTCTCCTCAAGGCAAAAAAAAAAAACCCTCTGCAGGATGAAAAAAGTACAGGAATCAAAGAGGTTCAGTGATACAAGAAGAGGGTCTGAAGGCAGACTTCTCCTTATTTCATTTGTACTTGTAAAGGATTAAGGAGAGAGTTGTCGTTTCCACATGAAACCCCAGAAACAAGATACTATGTGAATAGAGTATAAAAAGGGGAATGTGAAAATGTTCCAGAGGACAGTTAAGGGGCCACATATTCTGCTCCAGTCCATCAGCTGGCTCAGTACCTGTGCCATACTTGTACTTATTCTAAACAGAGTTAGATGGGGAGGTGCTCTATGGTCTTTTGTCTGGCTCACTCCACCAATCCCAAAAGCCCTTTTTTACAATGGTCTGTGCAGAAATGACTCAGATATGATTACTATGGGACCACAGACCAGCAAGGTTGACTATGGGACTTCAGATCTCATTAGGATTGCCCACTATATTGCAGGCCTGAACAAGGAGTCTTTGCACAGTTAATCTTCCTCTCAGCTAAAGGCTGCTTACACTCCTGATGTGCAAGGGATATACTCTCACCTAGCCTATAGTAAAAAAAATAATTCTATCTGAAAAATAAGTGTTTCTTATGAGAGAGAGAGGAGGAGAGGAGAGGAGAGGTCATGCCTGCTCTTGCTTTATTTTTTTTTTTTCCCCCAGATATTTCAAATACTTGGGCAGTTTGTTAGAATATCAGACTTTGTTATGTCGACAGACACTTTGAGTAAGAAAATAATTGTGCAGATGAAAATTGAATTTTTATCCAATCCTTCTTATTCTCTCAGTGTCTGATTATTGCAGGAATTCTGTGTTAGGAAAATATGAATGCCACGCTAATGGCAAAATTCTAGGTACACTGCCTCTGATCCTGAATATTATAAATTCAGGCAGACATCTTCACACCTGCAACACTAATAAGTGTAATAAGGGAGGAAGTAAGGTACTGACATATTTCATGCAACAGTGCTCTAGTCTCACTGATTGCAGTTCCCATACAGATCATATAGGTAACAGAAGATCAAGTGCATTTGCAAGACCCACTTATCTTATTTTCTGCTAGTGGAGACTTCCTTTAGAAAATAAACACTTTTAACATGCTTCTAACAACTGACAATTAGATTAAGCATATAAAAAGTTAATACCCAAATGCAAACAGTGTACGCCAAATATTGGAGCCAAATCCCACTGAAGTCGATAACGCAGTTTCTTTGATTTCTGAGGACTAGATTTGCATCTATTTCCAAAGTGGTTCCAGTCTCATAGATAGTCAGCACAGCTGAGTATCTTGGTTACACAGATAAATTTTGTAGTTTAAATACATGAAGTTTATATCCTTTGAGTAGTTAAACATCTACACAACTTGTATGAGCATACCTTGTTTTGCAGCCAAATGTTAGTATTTATTCTCAAAAGTAACAATAAGGAAAAAGAAAATAAGTAAATTTAGAAAGTTTTTAAATGTTGGACTTCAACAAAAATACACTTACCATGTCATTCCTGAATGACAAGAAAACAAAACACAAAAAAATCTATATTAGAATTTGTGCTTATTTTAATCTTTATAAATTATACCCAAACTATTTGCAGAAAACTGGACCTAAACAGTTAATGATATAAGCTGTAGGCCAAGCAATTGAGTTCAAAGTCTCAGGAACTTATGTTTTTATTCAGCAAAATTCCACACAGATCTAATCCTATAAACATCTTTCAGATTATATGATCCTAGCTTACAAAAATCATCAGTTCACTTCAGATGAGACATTCTGAATCAGAATAGTATCAGAATTGGTCTGCAGGCTTAAAATTATGCTATATTGCAATAGGAACTGCCCAATAAATGTGCCATTAAGGGTGTATTTTGTCTCTCATCCTTCCAAAAGAAGGTGGTACAATATACAAATTCTAGGAAACTGGCTTGACTTGCTTTAATCAAATTGGTGATCAAGATCTAACATTTGAAATACATTTCTCTAATCCCTACTCAAAACAACTTATTTAGTGGAAGATACATAAATCTTCATCCATTCTTCAACATCATATCTCTGCATCCAAAAAAATTACCTAGGCTCTCATGCTTTAAAGACCTGCCTGTACAATGGGTGTTCATTTATACTTAGTTTACATAAGTCATGTTTCATCAATGACAGCAGATTATTGTAATGTCAGTTCTGAAAGAATCCAATTGAAGTTAAAGTGGAGATATGAAACATACTTCCTCCGCTGCCTTTAGTACTACAACATGATGTAGGTCATCACATTTTCTTAGATGAATTAAATAGCCATGCAGAAAATATATATAAATTGGTGTTTTCAAAAGTCCATGAATGACTTATGATTGCTAGTTAAAATGGCATCTGATTTTGAGAACACTACCTTGCTTTCTCAGAAATTATGGGAGCTAGTCCTTTGCTACATAAAAGCAACTGAAGATATGAAATTTGTCCCCATACTGGTGACTGGGTTTGTTGAAGGAGTCCCTTTAAAATATTTTCCGTATGAATTCAGTTGATGTCAATGGCCCATAGAAGAACAAGCCTCTCAGACCGCTTCTTTAGTAGTGCTGGAGTTTTTCAACAGACTCATCCTCTCTCTGACTCCAAGGAAACACAGGCGAGAATGAAGGACTATCTTTGCAGAAATACATGATGTAGTATGCAGGGACATCAGATTTATTCACATACAACCTCACTTGAGGATAGATGCATGACAAAGGTCTATAATATGTATATGTGTGTGCTTATGCATACCGAGCACAGAATTTCTCTGCTTAGTGTAATTTCCAGCTTACAGTTAATACTGCTTATAAGACACAAGACAGAGTTTCCATTCAAGACCTGTCTGGTATTATGTGAACCAAATCATACTTCAACTGAATATATAAATTACAATAATTATGAACATTTTTATAATTATTTTTTTTTACATTTATATTCACCTTCTAAACCTGTTGTTCTGGAAAGGTTCAACCATGCAATTTATATGTAAATCTCCTCCCTAAGCCCCGCCCCAAATTTCATTTTGAAACTAGTAAACCAAAATGGCATATCCAAAATAATACTTGACACAGACACCTTTTGGACTGCTTATTGTTAAGGGTAAGGTCATGTAATGGTTTCAATTTCTCCAGACACTTCCTTCAATATCTTATGTAGCATGGTTTTACCCTTCCATCATAATGTACCCCGCATGACTGTTTCCCACATCTACATCGTCAGTTCTAATGGAGATTCATTTTTTCCTTTTTTCAAAATGCCAGATTAGACCTCTATATAGAATCTGAAGTCTTAAAAATGAATGGGTACTGGGAGCACATAGGACTTGAAAAGCTCAGTCCTGAAATTCTGAACCTCTCACAACTAATGGAAAGAACATCTTCTAACACAAGCCCCTCAAGTTCCAGTAACCTCCTGGGAAATTACATCAGTGGACATGCAAAATATTGAAAAATGGTAGAATAAATTTAAGGTCACCATTTCCAAATAAAATTCTTAAATAACAGAAAAATAATGAGTTTGTCCTATTTGTCCTATTTTATTCATGCTTTCCCTCATTCATGTTCCCTTTGTTTCAGAGTTCCCATTGAGCAGCTTCTGTAAGGTTGTTGGGCCAACGACCTACTCCAAGATCACTCATTTGCGCCTGGATGGAAACAATCTCACTCGGGCTGACCTGCCACAGGAGATGTACAACTGCCTTCGGGTGGCTGCTGAGATTTCACTGGAGTGAGATACATGGGAGCATCCAGTTCCCTTATAGCGGCAGTACCTACAGGAATTACATCATGATAGCTCTTTAAAATTAGGATACGCCTTCAAAAAAGTGTCAATCTGCATATTATCCATTCTGTTTGTTAATATTTAGCATGGACTTGGCAACCTTAAGGAAACGTGCATATTTTTACAAATGGTTGTATTTAGAAAGCACAAGATTAACCAAATGTGGTTCAAAATATGCCTTCATTTGGGTAGGTAAGTTGATGAAAAGCATTCACCTTCATAGAAATCTATGTCCATGCATGCAATACATGCCAGCTGGTACCAGACTTACATGAAAGTCAGGTGGGTTTCATCAGCGTGCTGAGCAGTATGGGCTAGCCTGTGTAAATACAAGATTCCTCTCCAACCAATCCAACTTTCTTAATTATTCATGCCTTTTTCATATTGTTATCAATTGCAAAGGAAAAAAATGATATAAAAATCTAAGAACAATTTAAGATATATTAAAATATGTTTTTAGAGCCCATGACATTATTAAATTAATGGAATATGTGAAAGATAACAGGGAAACAAACATTTTTCAGGTTAAAAAGTTGTTTACTCTTCTTTTTGTCATACTTTCATTTAAACTTTCATGGTAAGATTTTTATCCATTGCTGGTATAATTTTTATTTCAAAATAAGTCATATATACAAGTATTTTAATTCAATTACTTGCATGCTACTTTTAACCAGATTGTAGAAAATAAAACATAGCAAATAGTATTTTTGTGTCCATATCATTGTCAACTATGTTTCAGTCTTCTATAAATGAAAAAAAAAACCCTTCAGGTTAAGACAAGATAATCTAAGCTATTATATTATTATTAAAATTTATTGTAAGGTTAAATAAACTGTTTTCTCTACTTTCAAGTTTCAATATGTTTGTAAACATATAATTTAACATACCCCACTGCATTTGTGTTTGCCATTATATCAATGTCTTATGGCGTTTGCAGTATGGGAGCCACAGTACTATGAAATAGTGCAAATTAATTTCTCAGCGTTGTCAAAAGAACAATTAAATCTCTCCGAAGCCACAGGCAATGAGTAAAATGCAGCCCTAGCTACTCATGGTAGAGAGATGGTAGTATATTCTATCCGGGAATGAATAGTTCAAATATTGTCAGCATCCTGGAACACACAGTGAAATAAATGTGTTAGTAACTGAGAGCTGTAAATGGCTTGCTTGCAAACACAGATCATCCCATGGGTACTATTTTCTTTTCAACTACTAGACTATTAAACACTCAAACAGAAACTCTTCTAGTTTCTGCAGCAAAAGCAGAAACTATCACCTCTGAAAAAAAAACCAACCCAACCCAAACCAAAACCCCACACCAATCCATTTAGTCGGCACATTGCCAATGCCAGATGTTCAGAATCAATACACAATTCACGAAGAAACCTGGAACTAAAACAAAAAGAGAGATGCAGGAGACAATAGAAATATTTTCCTCCTCATTTTTGTCATTTTGGACTTCATAAGTGTTATTGCTTTTTTATCCACATACAGGCAGGATTGAAAGTAACCTTTGTTACAAGTAAGCTAGAATTTTCATAGAAGAATGAAGTCTAAAGCTGGGGCTTTCTGAACACATCAGAGTGGGAATAACTATGGAATAGCACCTAGCCATTATACCACAGAAAAAGAAAGAAGTTCATGCAAAAACCCACAAAGAATAGAAAAAGATATGGGAAAGAGCATTCAAACATTTCCAGAGAGATTTTAACCCAACTGTTCCCATCACAGGAAAACACGCTAATCACCTCTAGAGCACAAATTGATACTGAGATGTGTCACGACATAGCTGTGATCTAGTAAACAGGACAGAAATGTTTTCTTCTTTTCAGTTTGTTTCAGCAAACCAGTTATCTTTATGAAAAATGAAACAGTGTGAACAGTGAGACTGAGAACAGTCCACCTCAGGACAGATTAAAACTTGTTGATGAGGGTAATTGCTGCATACCCATATGTTGCAAATAAAGCATCCACAGATGCTCATGAAGCATTTTGAGGTTCTCTTCAAGGGATAGAGTAGAAGGAAGCCCTCTGCCAAAATAGCAAACAGTACCGATGACATCCCTCAGAAACTGGGGAACCTTCACCTGTGGTTCGGAAATTCCAAGTTAGGTGGGGAGAGATAACATTGCGCAGCTTGCTCTTCACGCTATCTGTGAAAACAATAGAACATGAGGTCCTTTTGCTAAAGGAGAAATGGGACACTGTACCTCTGCTTTCGTATTGTGAGACACAGCAGCACAGGTTTCTGCTTCTGCATTAATGAACTGGTTTAAATCACTACAAAGACTGTTTAAGCTCCCAAAATCTACATCATGCAGAAACAGATAGGCAACAATATACATGTACATTAGTTCTCCGTTTATGAAAGCCACATGAATTGTTTTCTAGGCACTAGGCAGACATGTAGGTGTTTGAGAATACTTCACAGGGCCAGAGTCTTGGAAACTGAGTCACTGTAATGCAGTTTCTGCCCTTCCTGGAAGGAAAGGTGATGGATCTTGCTTATAAAGCCTCCGGCATTGTGGATACTGAAAAACATGATGCATATATCCCTCTTCCCATCTAACCTGATCACATTATAAAATACTTACATGTACAGGTGCAAACTTGTCACTTAAAAGGAGGCAGAGGTGAACAGATAACAACACAGCTGCAGTGGTATGAAGACAGTGGACTGGATAAATTAGATGAACTTAACTCTGTTCGGGGCTACATCATATGCAGCCTACAGTATAGCTATACAATTTACTTAAAATAGGTGTCCTTTCTTCTTTCAGGTCAAAATGGGTAAATTTGTCATGACACTTTCATGTGACGTTTCATATGAAAGAATTTACTAAAATCAAGATCTTTTGGAAAGACATGAATTTGAAAGCAGACATAAAAAGGAAAGTTTGCTACTAATGTAATGAAAAGCAGTTACAAGAACAATATAAAATATTAACAGACAAAAACTTTACCCATGAAATTTCAGGAACTGGTCTGCAAGTGTGTTGTACAGCCATTCACAAAGACAAAGGCACCTTTCAAATAAACAAGTATTGTCTGATTTAAAAGCATTTTTTTTTTTAATATTAAATTAAATTAGAGAAATTCCCTAGAAGGAACAGGCAGTGACTCAAGTGAATGTCTGGACATAGCATAAATTCTACATGCCCTCTACTGCTTTAGAGTCCAGCACGGTCAAATGGATCAAGATAGGAGTGAGCAGTGGCTGCTTGCAGCTGTCCTTCTAGTGCAAGGAACCTGACAAGGTCCCATCCCTACTCGCAAACCTTCAGTTTTAATGAAAGGGTATAAAGAGGGAATTGCTTAGCATAAACCAAATTATTTCGAAAACTAGGAACAAGAAGGCAAAACGTCATTAGGAAAGGCAGTCTGAATTGTTCTACATACAGCTGCAATAAGCATAGACTGAAGATGTTAAAGACTGTGAGGTTATAAAGCAAAATCAAGTTCAATGGAGAGCTGCTACGATGGAAGGCTGCAAAGAGAACTTCCCTCAGCCTTCTCCTTTCCAGGCTATGTCAAGTCACTTCCCTTATCCTCTCTGAGTATACCATATGCCTTAGTCCCGTGATTTATTGGCAGTTTTCCACTGCCTAAAAGGGCACTATAGAAAAAGGGGCCAGATTCAGAGGTGCACCATGAAAGGACAAGAAAGCAAAGGAAAAGTTCCAAGAAGAGAAATTCAGGCTGGACATACAAAGAAATTCTTTACAATGAGCATGTAAAGCACTGACACGGGTTGCACTAGGAGGCTGTGCACTCCTCCATCCTTGGAGATTTTCAGAACTCGCATGGGCAGCACCCTGAGGAACTGATCTGGCTTTGAAATTAACCTTATTTTTAAAGAAGGACTACACGACCTTCAGATGTTCCTTCAAACTTATTTATGATTTCTGTGAATCTGTGGCTCTAAGAATATGAGTAACCAATGGGGGACAATATCAATTTTAATAACCAGCTCTACAGCTGAAGAGTTTTGTGCTAAATTCACATGGAAAATTTATTGTTTCAGGTTCCAGTCCATAATTCCGAGTCCCAAGATACTCACAAAATCATAACTCAGCTAACATTTGGATATAGATTCCATAGGTAAAGACTGTGGAAACTTTCTTTTGATGCCCAAATGTCTGCAGCTGGCTTGTGCAAATCTGTTCCCATTTTGATACTTGTGAGCTTCTCAGTGCTGGCAGTGAAGTCAGAGATCCATCCCATCTAACTCTTCCATGTGGAACAGCACTGACAAACATGCTTAGACGTCTACACAAAATAAGGGAAGCAGTCTATGAGCTACCATCCCAGTGGACAGAGTGCTCATGGAGGACATTTTAGTTCTGAACTTTCTTTAGATTTAGGTATTGAAGAAAAGACTCTCAGACTGTACAAAAATAACTTAATAGGTACCCTATAGAGCTTCCATGGATAAAAATCTCTTAAATCTTCTCTGTGTAGTGTGAACAGTTCAACAGTAGCTAGCACAGAGAAAGGAGTGCTAACTCTGTATTTCAGGACACTCACTTTGAATGTTGGAATGTCAGGTTCAAATGCCTGGATAAATGATTGCTTCATTATGCAAAGCAAAACAGCCTTAAAAGAAGAGGCTGAAAGACTTTTAATCACACTATACTCTGCAGCTTTTGAGATAAAGTTGTGGTTGTGGGCTAGACAGGAAATAATTGTGCCCATATCTCCACATGCTGGAACCACAAGAAGGATCCTACCAGTCTTCTCTCAGAGGTGACCTGCCTGGAGTGCCCAACTTGAACAAGTTCAGAGGTGATACTGAACTGCTTTAGGCTGTGCTCACTGAATCACATAAACGCTTTGCCCTGAAGATTTCAGTTTGGATACTTTAAGTTATCCTCAGTTTGATAGCTTTTGTGGACCCTTAAGGTTATAGCTGTTTTTTGGGGTTTTTTGTTGGTATCTGTATCCCTCCATCAATGTATATGAAGGTATAGGTGTATAATCAGCAGCTGAGGATTTCAGTGAGCAGCAGCATATCTGAAAAATTACATATTGCTACTCTTTGGTGTTATAAACCCTGATTCTTCGTGGATGTAACCCAATCCACATGTTTTTTGGGAGCGAGTTATCTTTCTTTTCAGAATTTCAAATCTTAATCTGCAGATCAGAACACACAACATTTACAGCAAGTCTTGATTACCTGAATAATTATTATTTAAGTATAATCCCTCTTATGCAGTACCTCTGTGGTACAGCATACATTTTTATTCCGAAATTGTTAAAGAAAAGCAGAAAAAATAAAGTCTCAATTAGAAGGCAGTGAAGAAATGAAGCAAACACATGAAAAGAGAAATGTTTTTTTGTAGTCCAGACGACAGTGTAGAGGCACGGAGATTTGGTCAAATGCACATGACTTCTGAACAAGAGGAAAGCTTTATTTTAGAAAAAGTACTACTGTTCTGGCAAGAGAGGGCAAAGCAAACCCATCTCACAAGAAAAGATATAAAGGACCATGGAGTTTTTTATTCCCTCCAAGAAAGCAATTTTCAGAACAGTTTCTAATTCCATTGTTATGAGATGTTTAAAATTATTTCAAAACGTTAATGAAAAAAATCCCACATTGTTCAAAATGGGTTTATAAGTGTTGCCTATATGTTCTGTCAGGTCTGGTTGTAACAGTTAAACCACCATAAGATCATTCTGATAAACATATAGGCCATGTTTTTATAGTTGCAGAGAGATCCCTACTATAGTATCTCGGCAACAGAGGTGGGAAAAATGACCCAAATATCTTCTCAGAATCAGACCCTGCAAGTGTTGGTTTCTTTTGTTCCCCAAGGGACAGTCATGAATGCAAACTGTCTGGGA